GGGAAAACGGGGCTGGAAATCCTGGGAAAACGGGGCTGGAAATCCTGGGGAAACAGGGACAGAATTCCCGGGAAACGGGGCCGGGATTCCCGGGAAAACAGGGCTGGAAATCCTGGGAAAACGGGGACAGAATTCTCGGGAAAATAGGGCCGGGATTGCCGGGAAAACAGGGCTGGAAATCCTGGGAAAACGGGGCTGGAAATCCTGGGGAAACAGGGACAGAATTCCCGGGAAAATAGGCCGGGATTCCCGGGAAAACGGGGCTGGGATTCCCGGGAAAACAGGGCCGGAATTCCTGGGAAAACAGGGCTGGAAATCCTGGGGAAACAGGGCCGGAATTGCCGGGAAAACGGGGCCAGAATTCCTGGGAAAACAGGGCCAGAATTCCTGGGGAAACAGGGACAGAATTCCTGGGGAAACAGGGACAGAATTCCTGGGGAAACAGGGACAGAATTCCTGGAAAAACAGGGCTGGAAATCCTGGGGAAACAGGGCCGGAATTCCTGGGAAAACAGGGACAGAATTCCTGGGAAAACAGGGCTGGAAATCTTGGGAAAACGGGGCCACAATTCCTGGGAAAACAGGGACAGAATTCCTGGGAAAACGGGATCGATCCCTGCTAAAATGGGATCCCAAATCCCGGCCGAATGGGGGCCAGAGTTACCGAGAATTCCCCGGCAGGGTGGGACCCCAAATTCCCATGGGGATGTCGTCCCCCATTCCCAGCAGGATGTGATCCCGCTCTTCTGTCAGGGTGGGACCCCAAATTCCCATGGGGATGTCGTCCCCCATTCCCAGCAGGATGTGATCCCGCTCTTCTGTCAGGGTGGGACCCCAAATTCCCGGCAGGACGGGACCCCCCACTCCCAGCCCTGCCGGGGTCTCCAGTTTGGGATCCCTCCGCATCCCATCAATCCCATAAATCCCATAAATCCCATCCCATCCCATCCCATGGATCCCACTGATCCCACCCCATCCCTTGGATCCCATAAATCCCACCCCATGGATCCCATAAATCCCATCCCATGGATCCCACTGATCCCATCCCATAAATCCCATCCCATGGATCCCACTGATCCCATCCCATAAATCCCATCCCCTGGATCCCATAAATCCCACCCCATGCATCCCATAAATCCCACCCCATGCATCCCATAAATCCCACCCCACGGATCCCATAAATCCCACCCCATGGATCCCACTGATCCCATCCCATCAATCCGATCCCATGCATCCCATAAATCCCACCCCATGGATCCCACTGATCCCATCCCATCAATCCGATCCCATGCATCCCATAAATCCCACCCCATGGATCCCATAAATCCCACCCCACGGATCCCATAAATCCCACCCCATGGATCCCACTGATCCCATCCCACAAATCCCATCCCCTGGATCCCATAAATCCCACCCCATGGATCCCATAAATCCCATAAATCCCACCCCATGGATCTCACTGATCCCATCCCATAAATCCCATCCCATAAATCCCATAAATCCCATAAATCCCATCCCCTGGATCCCATAAATCCCATCCCCTGGATCCCATAAATCCCATCCCATGGATCCCATAAATCCCATAAATCCCATCCCATGGATCCCACCGATCCCGCCCCATCCCCTCGCTGTCCCCGCCCCGCGGTGCCACCCCCGGAGGTGCCCCCGGTGTCCCCTGGGGACACGAGGGGACACGAGGGGACACGATGGACACGAGGGGACAGGAGAGGACACGAGGGGACACGAGGGGACACAAGTGACTCGAGGGGACAGCAGCGTTACCCGCAGCAGCCCCGGCCTCTTCCCTTCCCAAATCCTCTTTCCTTCCCCGCAGAAAAGGGGGAAAAACCTGGATTTTTTATTTCATGATTGGATTTTTTAGCGCTCCCCTCCCTCCTCGCCTGCTTCGGGGTTTGGGTTGAGTTGGGTTTTATTTGAATTTTTTTGTTGTTGTTTCACGTAAAAATAGCAGCGAAGAACTCGGGAAGGGAAGAGGGGAAAGGATTCAGATCTGAAAGGAGAGGGGAGGGACGAGGGAGGGATAAAATAAGGATGGGAGGATGGGAAAAAGGGGGGAAGAGAATGGGGAAAATGGGGAAAAATGGGGGGAAAAGGGAAAAAACAGGGAGAAAAGGGGGAGGAATGCGGGAAGCGAGAGCTCCGACGGGCCGGGGGACACGGGGGGACACGGGGAAACGGGGACACGGGGGGACACGGGGGACACGGGGACACGGGGACACGGGGACAGACACGGGGGGACACGGGGACAGACATGGGGACACGGGGACACGGGGAAACGGGGACACGGGGAAACGGGGAAATGGGGACACGGGAGGGACACGGGGGGACACAGGGAAACGGGGACATGAGAGGGACACAGGGGGGGTGGCACTGGATGGTGGCACCGGGGGTGGCACTGGATGGTGGCACTGGATTGTGGCACTGGATGGTGGCACTGGGGGGTGGCACTGGATGGTGGCACTGGATGGTGGCACTGGATTGTGGCACTGGATGGTGGCACTGGGGGGTGGCACTGGATGGTGGCACTGGGGGGTGGCACTGGATGGTGGCACTGGATGGTGGCACTGGATGGTGGCACTGGATGGTGGCACTGGGGGGTGGCACTGGATGGTGGCACTGGATGGTGGCACTGGATGGTGGCACTGATGGTGGCACTGGATTGTGGCACTGGATTGTGGCACCGGGGGTGGCACTGGGTGGTGGCACTGGATGGTGGCACTGGATTGTGGCACTGGGGGTGGCACTGGATGGTGGCACGGGGAGATGGCACTGATGGTGGCACTGGGGGTGGCACCGGGGGTGGCACTGGAGGTGGCACTGGGGGTGGCACTGGGGGTGGCACTGGATGGTGGCACTGGATGGTGGCACCGGGGGTGGCACTGGCACTGCGGGGACCCGGCGCTGCCGTTCCGGGGTTGGGGACAATGTGTGGGGACAAAGGGATGGTGGCACGCCGGGCGGGTGCCACCAGTGCCAGTTCGGGTTGGAATTTGGCCGGGCAGGGGACGGTGACACGGGGAATGGTGGCACGGGTGGCGCAGGGCGCGACTTCCCGAGCTGTGCCCGTTTTCCCCTCGATGTCCCCAAAATCCTGGCACCATCCCAGTGCCCATTTCCCCCTCCATTTCCCCAAAATCCCGGTGCCAGCCCGGTGCCCATTTCCCCCTCCATCTCCCACAAATCCCGGTGCCAGCCCGGTGCCCGTTTCCCCTCGGTCTCCCCGAAATTCCCATGCTATTCCCGTGCCGTTCCGTGCCATTCCTGTGCTATTCCGTGCCATTCCCATTCCCTTCCGTGCTATTCCCGTGCCATTCCCATGCCATTCCCATGCCATTCCCGTGCCGTTCCGTGCCATTCCCGTGCCGTTCCCGGCCGTTCCGTGCCGTTCCGTGCCGTCCCGTGAATATTTATTGCCGTTATTCCAGAACTAAAGCCTGGGCTGGGAGCGGGGGGGGCGGGGGTCGCGCTGTCCCCTCCCCGTCCCTCCCCCCGTCCCTGTCCCGGTCACGTCCCGCTCGATCCCCGCGGGCCGCGTGACAGCGGAGCGGGGCCGGTATCGATCCCCGACCGGCACCGATCGATCCCCGGGAGCCGCCGGCGGCAGCGGCGGGGCCGGGCTGGGGCGGCTCCGGGGGTCCCGGGGGGATCCTGGGGGGATCCTGGGCAGATCCCGGGGTCCCGGGGGGATCCCGGGGGGATCCTGGGCACCTCCAGGAGGATCCGGGCAGCTCCGCAGGATCCTGAGAAGCTCCAGGAGATCCTGGGGGATCCTGAGGGGTCTCGGGGGGTCCTGGGGGGGTCCCGGGGGGATCCCGGGGCGATCCTGGGCAGATCCCGGGGTCCCGGGAGCTCCGGGGGGACCCGGAGAGGATCCTGGGCACCTCCAGGAGGATCCGGGCAGTTCCGCAGGATCCTGAGAAGCTCCAGGAGATCCTGGGGGATCCTGAGGAGTCTCGGGGGGTCCTGGGGGGATCCCAGGGGATCCTGGGGGGTCTCAGGGGGTCCTGGGGGGATTCCAGGGGATCCTTGGGGGGTCTCAGGGGGTCCTGGGGGGTCTTGGGGAGATCTCAGGGGATCTTGGGGGATTCCAGGGGGATCTCAGTGGATCTCAGGAGATCCTGGGGGGGATCCTGGGGGATTTCAGGGAGGTCCTGGGCGTTCTCAGGGGGTTCTTGGGGGGATCTCAGGGGGATCCCGGGGGTTCTCAGGGGGATCCCGGGGTTCTCGGGGGGATCCCGGGGGTTCTCGGGGGGATCCCGGGGGTTCTCGGGGGGATCCCGGGGGTTCTCGGGGGGATCCCGGGGGGATCCCGGGGTTCCCGGGATGGCGGGGCACGCGGCGCCGCGGTGCCGGGCGCCGGGCGGTGACGGCGGCGCCGTGGCCGCAGCGGTGCAGACGCGCTTCGTGGAGGAGCCCGAGGACCGGACGGTGGTGGCCGGGCAGAGAATCGTCCTGTCCTGCGTGGTGCTCAACTACTCCGGCATCGTGCAATGGACCAAGGACGGGCTGGCCCTGGGCATGGGCCAGGGCCTCAAAGGTGCCACGGGGGCTGGGGGCTGCGGTGGGGACGGGTGGCTTGTGGGGACACCACTGGGGACGGGTGGCTTTGGGGAACACCACTGGGGACGGGTGGCTTTGGGGGACACCACTGGGGACGGGTGGCTTTGGGGGTAGCACCCCAAGGCAGGGGCTGAAAGGTACCCGGGAAAGGGAGGGTGGCCCTGGGGGTGTCCTCGTGTGACTCCCCAGTGCTGTCCCCACAGCCTGGGAGTGGGATTGGGGTGTCTCTGTGTCGTTGGGGTTGTCCCATGGGTGACCCATGGGATTGGGGTGTCCCTGTGAGATTGGGATGTCCCTCCATGCCCGCGGTGTCCCTCTGGGTTTATGGTGTCCCTCTGGGTTTGGGCTGTCCCTCCGCGCCCGTGGTGTCCCTCTGTGCCCGCCGTGTCCCTCCGTGCCCGCGGTGTCCCTCCGTGCCCGCGGTGTCCCTCTGGGTCCATGGTGTCCCAGTGGGTTTGGAATGTCCCTCCGTGCCCGCGGTGTCCCGGTGGGGCCGGGCTGTCCCTCCGTGCCCGCCGTGTCCCTCCATGCCCATGGTGTCCCGGTGGGTTTGGGCTGTCCCTCCGTGCCCATGGTGTCCCCCCGTGCCCGCGGTGTCCCGGTGGGGCCGGGCTGTCCCCGGTGACGCGCCGTGTCCCCGCAGCGTGGCCGCGGTACCGCATCGTGGGCACGGCCGACTCGGGCCAGTACAACCTGGAGATCCGCGACGCCGAGCTCTCCGATGACGCCGTCTACGAGTGCCAGGCCACCGAGGCCGCGCTGCGCTCGCGCCGCGCCAAGCTCACCGTGCTCAGTGAGCCTGCCCCGCCGGCCCCGCGGCTCCCGGTGCCCCACGCGCTGCCCGGTGCCCCACGCATGTGCTCCCGGTGCCCGACACGGTTCCCGGTGCCCCACACGGTTCCCGGTGCCCTACATGGTGCCCGGTGCCCTACATGGTGCCCGGTGCCCTACATGGTGCCCGGTGCCCCACACGCTTCCCGGTGCCCCACATGGTTCCCAGTGCCCCACACAGTCCCCGGTGCCCCACACTCTCCCCAGTGCTCCACACAGTCCCCGGTGCCCCACACGGTTCCCGGTGCCCCACACAATTCCCGGTGCCCTACACGGTGCCCAGTGCCCCACACACTATCCAGTGCCCCACACAGTGCCTGGTGCCCCACACACTATCCAGTGCCCCACACAGTCCCCAGTGCCCCACAAAGTCCCCGGTGCCCCACACTCTCCCCAGTGCCCCACACACTC